ATGGCTAGGCTACCCACCTGGGTGGTGGGAGACCCTGGGTCCAACCCCTCCTCTGCAAGGGGTTGGACCAAGGCTCTCCCACCTCCTGCCTCCCAGCCCCACCCCCCACCTGACACCCCCAGCCACCACCCCTCTCTTCTCCCAGACCCACTCCCACCACACCTATGAAGTGAGCGATCTCTGTTCAAACCCCCTTCTGTTTCCAGAAAGACAAGGGCCTCCTGCAAGCGAAACGGGACCTAAACAGGAACCTCCCACTTCCCTCCTGGGAGGCAGGACAGCCTTCTCCAAATCCTTTTGAATCAGTTAAAGGAAGGATTTGAACCAGCATCTCCAATTGCTGAGACAAGCAGCAAAACCACTGGACTATAGAGTGACCCTAGCTCAGAGAGTGGCCTGATGCCTAGTTAATTAAAATGGACCAGCTTCAAGCGGCAAGAGCTGAAACCCCCTCTTCTCAGAAAGCAGGAGTAGGATTTGAACCATACTCTCCAACACCTTAGGTAGGGCCCAAACCAGGCTATTCAGGGCTTCATAGTAGGGAGTTTTGATTTGTGCATTTAATAGTTAATTAAAGTGGACAAGTGTCAAGAGGAGAGGCAATTTCTGCTCACATCTCTTCTCAGTCCAAGGGGGGAATTGAACCAGCATCTCCAATACTAGAGTACACTAATCATGGGGCTCTAAGAAGGCATCTTACAGAGCAACACTGCTTTGGCCTAAGTAAGAGTTAAAGTGAAACAGCTTCAAGAGTAAAGAAGCTTGCTGTGCACAGTCCTTCCCCACAGCAAGAGGATATGGTTGCCAACCCTTCAGGCTTGGCCTGTAGTCTCCAGGAATTAAAGATTAATCCTGATCCTTGTTTTGGCCCAATTCATAGTTAATAAAGTGGACCAGCTTCAAGAGAAAAGACTGAGGAAGCCACACAGCAGAATAATGTATACTCCAGCAGTTAGGCCAGTCACTGGTGAGGTAGGAGATCACTACTCAAACCTCTTTTCATCAAGCAGAAGGGGAATTGAACCAGACTCTGCAATAGTCTGGGAGAAGCCCCAAACCAGTGGCCTACAGGCTGAGTCTTACAGTGTCTGTGGCCCAATTAATGTTTAATTGAAGTGGAACGTTGTCACTAAGAGCAGCCCACACCAGACTACCCTTTAGCTTCGCAATTAAGGCACTCACTTGAGAGACGCCAGACCCCCTTTTTAATTACCGTCTCATCAAGCAGATGGGGGAAGTGACATAGGGTCTCCCACATCCCAGCTGAGGACCCTAATCAGTGGGATAAGGAGCAGAGAGCAGGTTGCTGCCTCCTTCCCCCCACTGGTTTTGTATGGCTTTGGGCAGGAACTTGACAAGCTCATGTGGATCGCATGCAGCGATAGGGCTCAAACTCTGTAAAAGGCCGGGCTTAACTGCCCCCTTGGTAGCCTCTCCCAGTGGCTAGCGTAGGTGGCTCCCTGCCTCGCATGCTGGCTTTTGGGGATCCCATTCTTAGGCGCATGTCTCTCCTCATTCATTGAAGAGGGAGCCTAAGCACCTACCTCAGGTTTAGGGGACCCCATTGTTCTTCCAATGAGTGAGGTTCTGGTAACACTGATTATTACCTAAGTGCTGAGCCAGAGGGGAGCTGAGACCGGGTCTGGGCCCATATTACCGGCAACCATCACTAAGACTGTATGGGAGCTGAGAATGGGCATGACTCAGGTGACTAGCCCTGAGACGAAAGAAGAGGGGTTGTTCGGTTCATACCACAGACACATCGCTAAGTCCCTGAGAGCTGAGAGTGGGCATGTGTTGTGAATGCCACAAGCACTGAGATCAGGGTGGGGAGTGCGGAATAGACACCATCAGTGCAGCCCACAGTCTCACCCTCAAAACCCCGGGTGGGGAATTGAGAACAAGCAGTCTCGATGTATGACAGAGCCCTGACACTGGGTGTTGGGGGTGGCTAAATGAGTGTGTGAGAGGCACAGTGGAGCTCCCTTTCTTCTGCACTCCTGTGGGGTGTGTGTGGCGAGAAGAGCTCTAAACTCCTTCTCCACCCACTTCTCTGGGTGCTCAGCTGCTGTGTTCAGCCATCTTTTCCCATGCCACTGAAAGCTGAAGTGGTCTCACATCTACTGACAGCATGAATGTTTGGCAGTATTAGGCACATGTCCAGTTCCTGCTTCACAGCCACTCAATTAATGGGAATGCATCTCTTCTTTTGGCCAACACCAGTTTTGAAATCGAATTCATCTACCCCAAGAAGAGAGGAATATTTTGGGTGCAACCGCTGAGTCCATGCTCCCCATTAGCATCCTGTTTGAGTGTTTGCTTTGCATGAGCAAAATGCAAGAACATGAGTGAATCTGCTTGCTCATTATCTGCTTTTAATTCTGGTATTGCAGAATGTGTTTTTTTTAATGACATTACATTTTAGTCACATATTATCATTTGTGGAGAAAGAAAACAAAGCTTCTTACTAGCAATGTAAAATATACTGCTCTTAAATCCTCTGAACTTCATTTAACGCTTTATTGATAACTTCAAAGATGTATTCTGGTGTATACAAATACAGTTGAAGGCAGTAACTAACCTAATCTCAAAGCAATTATTTATGTTTGTGATCAATTTTTATTGATAGAAAATATGACAAGGCATTTTTATGAAATACAGCATTCTTTGTGCTGGCTACAGTGGCTTTTTAAATCTGTTTTAAATTAATGACTTGGTGCTGTTCAGCTAAGAAAACAACATAATGTTTATCGGTATGCTACCTAGCACTATTCCTTTTGGAGTCAAATTCTTTTTTTCCTCTTGCCCCTTGAAGTGCTCATGCTCAGTGTGTATTGCATTGAACCGCTTCTTCATGTACTCTAAAGATACTAACTGCTCTCACGTATGTAAAGAAGTCCTGGATTTGAATGTAAACTACATTGCAGTCTGAAACACTGATTTAATAAACTTTAATTCCTGTCATGGAATAATGTGTCTCATTGTGTCTTTTCTGTTTCTGACCACGCTCAGGTTAATAGAACATACTGCTGTGGAACCTACAGAGCAGGTCCGATGCGGCAGATAAGTCTTGTTGGAGCAGTAGATGAAGAAGTTGGTGACTACTTCCCAGAATTTCTTGATATGTTGGAGGAATCTCCATTTCTGAGAGTGAGCATTATACTGTTGTAGTGTTTTGTTTAAATTATTATCAAGCATAAATGTCTTAACACTTTGAATTTACAACTTCAAGTTGCTAAATAATGAGAGAATTTAGGTACAGCTTCTCCATTCAGATGGTGATGAACTACCTTACTGAGGATGCTGATAAAATCTACCCTCTGTTCAAAGAAGTAAATACTGGAAGGAGATTATATGCATCCGAAGAAGTGGGCTGTAGCCCACGAAAGCTTATGCTCTAATAAATTTGTTAGTCTCTAGCCACACGTTCTTTTTGCGGATACAGACTAACACGGCTGCTACTCTGAAACCTGAAAGGAAATTAATTTAGAGGCTACAGCAATCAGTTATTTAACTGGAGAAATTATTGGGCTCTTGTTGCATGTCTGTTTCACAATGGCCCACTCTCTAAAAGCTGAATAAGTTAACTATATTGCTGGTGGAATACGTTGTTTCATCTCTAAGAATAAGGTTTGGTTTCTATATAGTTCTCTTGGTAATGAACTTGAGCCAGTGCTTATCAAAATTTTAACTGTTATCCATTTGACATAGCTTTTTGTGTTCCTGCTTTTAGATGACTTTGCCCTGGGGCACTCTTTCTAGCCTCCAGCTTCAGTGCAGGTCACAAAGTGATGATGGCCCCATAATGTGGGTGAGACCAGGAGAACAGATGATCCCGACAGCAGATATGCCAAAATCACCATTCAAACGGCGCCGGTAACATTATTTTCCTTTAATAGAAAAGAAAATCACAGCTAGATAAAGTACTATCCTAAGGTCTTAATGTTTGTCCTTATTGTGTGTGAAATTAGTCTTTCAAAGATAAACTTTATGGCTTTCTTAAATTTCCTATGTGACTTCATTCCTTTTGCTTTAGAAGCAAGCAGTCCAGTTATTTAAGCCAAACTAACATAATGTCTGTGTTCCAGGTAAGTGCACTTGAGTTTAAGGTTTCCTCGAGGTTGACAGCATTATGTATTGCCTGTTTGACAGATCTCTTGGGTTCCTGAACATAAGAATGGCCATACTGGGTCAGATCAGTGGTCCATCTAGACCAGTATTCTGTTTTCCAACAGTGGTCAATGCCAGGTGCTTCAGAGGGAATGAACGGAACAGGCAATCATTAAGTGATCCATCCCCTGTTGTCTGCTTCCTCCTTCTGTCTGTGAAAAAGCTAATATTTGGTGTACTTCTCCAACACAGTGCAGAAGTCCCTACACTGCATTAAAGGCTGGTCCTAATGCTGGTTATTTAAGTAGTCTTGGTATGGGTTGCCTTCTCAAGAAATGCTGTATTCCAGAGGAATGTTCTCTTAACTACTTAAATCTCCTCAGCTGCCCTCATTGAAATGTTGCATTGGTAAGGTCTATTCTCTGGCTTTGTTTTCCACTATATCTAAAACACCAAACTAAATCCATTATTCCAATAATTTTTTTAAAAGGTTACTATTTGAGGGTACCATCTCACTATAACTGCTTACTTCCCTTTACTGTTTTACAGTAGCAAATGACAAACATTTTCAGCACTGTGCTGAAGCCAGAAGCACAAGATTATGTCATTATTTGTAATTGTGTGGGGAAATGAAGGCTATAATTTTTTTGCCAAAGAGAATTTTTTAGAGAAATATTCTTGTCCTCTTAAAAAAATAAAAATAAAAAAAAGCTTTGATTGTGAATCTTTAAAATTGCTCTTGCCAATGACAGTTTTTTGTCTAACACTTTGATAAACCACACAGCTGTAGTTAAATTGCTTTGACAAAGCCTTCCATCCTCTAGAGTCCAAGGAAACTCCAACTGGACAATCTAACTCTGCAGTTATAAATTAATTGTTAGTAGTGTTAATTTTGTTTAAATTGCTTTTTATTTTAATCTCTAAAACTGTAATCTGTCAAATTCTGAATAAAACCATTAACATCTACCTCCCACAATCTGCTTGAAATCCAAGAGGCAAATTTACCTTCAGTTTTCCTTGGGAGTGTTTTGTGCAACCAATCTTGGGGAGAGAAATAATTGGAATCATGTTTTCATCACAGCTTTAAGCAGAAAACCCAATATGTTCTCTCTAGATAACTTAATATTTTAAGGGTCTATATTTTAAATTGAAATTTTTAAGTATGGCACAATTCTTGTAGTTCAAAGGATAATAAAACATCCCAATATGACTGTTCAGAGGTTGACTAAAGAGTTCACATTTTTCCAAATATATAGTATACCTAATGTACTTTTTAATTGTTGTCTTTTCCTCAATCTGGATTAAATCTATCTAGACTCGTTAGAGGTATAGAATTGTAACAGCAGGACACAAGTCACGTATAGCATGATTTTCCCATTTGTTGTTGGGTTTTTTTGTTTATGTCTGTGATTCACTCCATACCAGCAGCTCATATCCTGCAGGGCTGGCCGTGGCTCCCAGCTCCAGACGTTGCAATCGGCTGCACGGGGTCATAGAATCGCTCAGGTTGGGTCCAGCCATCCCTCCGTCGTGGTAGGGATGGGAGGTGGGTAAAACCTGAGTGGCACTGCGACCTGGCATAACAACTCGCAATGCCCAGAGCGGGGAGCCAGGCTCAGCCCTACCCGGCACAGGAGCCACCAAAGCCTAGGCATGAGGTGAGTGTGGGGCAGGCTCCCTGTCAATCCTGGGGCCCAGCCCTCAGAGATACAGGAGTTGCTGCTGCTTGGGATGAGTACAGGGTGGCTCACTCTCCAGTCCCATCTCCCCACCCCAGTCCTCCCCTCCGCACCAGGCTGGGATGAGGGCTGCAGTTCTTGGTTGGAGGGTGCTGCTGGAGGTGGTTGGGGCCCCTTCATTTGTCAGGGTATCTTTTATCAAAAATCTCAGAGCAGTCACTAAATCCATGACTCTTACTAAATTTACCATGACTGCTCTGTGACTTTTTGATTTAAAAAAATGCCATGACAGAGCTGCAGCACTAACTATACTTAAATCTTTGAATACCAATTTGATACGTAATACATATAGCAAAAGCAAAGGGAGCATTTTTGTTCTTGGATTTTGAATGCTACAGGACACTAGCAATATTTCTTGAAAATTACCTTAGTACATTTACAGATAAGAAAGCTGTACCATTCATCTCGTCTCTGAGTAGTCTGGAATATCCTTTTTCCTCCTCTCTTCACCCCACTTTATAGATCAATGAACGAAATAAAAAACCTCCAATACCTACCTCGGACCAGTGAGCCCCGTGAAGTTCTCTTTGAAGACCGAACAAGAGCCCATGCTGATCATGTAGGTCAGGGGTTTGATTGGCAGAGTACAGCTGCTGTAGGAGTGCTGAAAGCTGTACAGTTTGGTGAATGGTAAGTGTGACTGAATTTTGTAACCACTCCAGTTGGATTTGAGACTGACTTCCCTTTATAAAAGGAAGAAAATGTGAAGTGTCGGTTGAATAGCAGCCTAGTTGTATAAATTGTTTAAAACCAAATGACTTGTGACTATTCAAATGCTGTGTAAAGTCTGTAAAACATAATCTAGTAAATACATATCTCTGGCAACTTTTACCCCTACTTCCTTCTCCCTCCTGAGTCCAGCGCAAAAACTGTGTTAACATGGAGTAGTTTGCAGAGAGCTTGCGTGATATGCAGTGTAGGCCACTGTATCTGGTGCGTCCTGCATGTCTTTTCCTTCATCTCCTAACTGATTATAATGTAAGTTCAATTCCATAAACAGAATATTGTCAGGTCAATTGTTCATTTGTGATGGTACCGACAATAATTTTCCACCTCCTGGATCCAGGGCATTGCTGGTAACTAAGTCCTGGGAAGAAATCACAAGCTTTGAGTTGGTAATATTGTCTGTAGCAATTACAGTAGAAATTGGACAGCAGGAACAGTGTCATCAGCAACAATATTGGCCAAGATTCAGATAAATAAGCAGTGCCAATGTTTCCCTTGCCCTATATTTCAAATCCATTGAACAAGCAATATCTACTTCTATGGTCCCCATCACCATTGTATCTGAGTGTCTTACAAATTTTTCTTTCCAATATTCCTTTAAAATATAGATATTAGCCCAATTATAAAATAGGAGAATTGAGGCAGAGTGACTTTTCAGAAGTCACACAGGAAGTCTGTGGCAGAGTTTGGAATTGAACCTAGCCCCCTGGAGTCCTAATGCAGTCTCTTTTGCTATGTAAAGTTCAAGTCAAAGATAAAATGAAGCAATTCAGGAAATGAGGTAGGATCTGTGGAGTCTAAAGAATATGCATACACTAATGTTATTGTACTAGTTGTGATGCTGAGAGACTTATTACCCAGTAGAAAACTATATAATAGGTATTTTCTTTATGGTAACTCTTGCTTTCCAGAGCTGTAACCACAAATTCTTTAAAACTCAGTCTTGACAATCTTCATCTCTAGGAGTGTCCAACCTCGAATAACCAAAGATGTGGTTTGTTTCCATGCTGAAGACTTCACTGATGTGGTACAGAGACTTCAGTTAGACTTGCATGAACCTCCAGTGTCACAGGTACTGTGTTCCCTAGTTGCAACTTATTTCCAGCATTTTGGAAATGGCTTCAAAAGCAGCATATTTATGGATTTTTTAAAAATTAGTGTTAGTCAAATGTTTGAAATAAAGGTATAAATAGTGGATGTCTCAGACGTGGTTCTAGGCTTGTGACTAGAGCTATTTATCTCTAATTCTTGTTTTAGTGGTGGTAGGCTCATCACATGAGGGTCATGGGTTTTGATCCTAGCATGACCAAGTGTCACAAAGCTCCTTTCTTCATGAGACAAAGAACCAAGAAGGCTTGAGTATGGGTTACAGGAATTTCACATAATTTCGGTTTCCATTCCCCCTCCCCCCCACTTGCTTCAGACTCCTTCTGGCATAAACCATGTCTGTCTGGCACCACAAAGCATTGGAGCCTCTTGAGTAGCTGGGCTCCTGCAAAACAGTAATATTGTGAAATGTCTAAGCTATGGTGTGTGCTACAGAAATAATTCTAAACTGGGTAAGGATTTACTGTGCACACATGCCTCTAACTCTTCCCCCTTCTCTTCCCCCCTTCCCCCCAATTTGTTGCTAAAGAGTTGGAGTTTTGGTCTCCTAGTACCAGACCAACCACACCCAGCTCTGTCTGGTAATGCCAGGTCAAAAGCTTCTTACTGAAGCTCTAATTCTAGTTTTAAGACCTGCCTGTGACACCATAATGCTGTGGCAATGGGTCATTATTTGTTACCTCATAGGTGCACACAGCACTTCATAATGAAACATTAAAGATTTATTCTTGCTGCAAGTTGCTTCTTAACTGAAGTTGTATTCTTTAAAGAGTAGTCACAATCAAATGGGTCGCTGGACTGAAAGTGCACTCTTCTATCTAAGTGGATGCCCAGCTGTGGGCCCTGCATACAGATTAGCAGTAACTTTCCCCTTTCTTCCCCTCAGTGTGTTCAATGGGTGGATGAAGCCAAGCTAAACCAAATGAGACGGGAAGGCATTCGCTATGCTAGAATCCAGCTGTGTGACAATGACATCTACTTCATCCCTAGAAATGTCATTCATCAGTTCAAAACAGTGTCAGCGGTCTGCAGTTTAGCCTGGCATATAAGGCTCAAACAGTACCATCCTGTGGGGCAGTCTTCTCAAAATGCAGAAAGCAATTCAAACATGAACAGTAATATCCCTGAAAAGACAGAGTCAGAAGGTGAACCCCAATGTGTGAGTGTAAAAACAGAGTCTGAGGAACCAGGTGTAGAAATGCAGCTTACAACAGGGGCACCATCCTCCTCCTCCTTAATTTCATCAATATCGGGACTCGTTCTGCAACCAGATCAGGTGGCCCAGCCTCTTCCAGTTCTTAAACTAGAATCTGATCAGCAACATAATCCACAGGATCACACAGACTCTTCTGTGTGATATGTACATAGTCAAACATTTTTTAACAACTTTTTAAAATTTTGATGTGAAGTTATAGTTTTATAACTTGCTTATGTTTTATTGGAGAAATCTTGCCTATAATTCTATAAAGAAAGGTGACATTCCAAAATGTCAAGCATATCTTTTTTACACAGATTATGCAAAAGATCAAGTTGTATTTTACTCCCATAGTACAGCATGTAATAGTGGTCTACCACTTCTTTCTGTTTAATGAGGTAATAATTCAATATCTTCTCATCAAAATCAGAATGGAATTCCTCCAGGCGCTAAAAATCACAGAACTATCTTGGTAAATCTAATTCCCCTACTTAATTTTAATTTAGCCTTCACCATAAAAGGACGACTTCTGTAGAAGACTCTCCCATCTGATTTTAATTGCTAAAATCAAAGAGAAAGCACAGCACTTTTGATGATCAGTGATGTTTTGGTCTGTCTGTTCTTAAATTCGTGGTGGATACTCAAATTACTAGATGTATAGATCTTTTAATTTTTAATTGTTAAACAGTTCATTAAAAAGGTGAAGTGTGACATCTTATCCCATTGAAATGTAATCACTTAGACACAACACTTTCCATAGTACTGCTTGTAATGTTTGATGTGAGGATTTTGCTTCCTAAATACATCTTTCCTGAACACGACTAATTCTAGTGTTAATTTTTTTTTTTTAAAAGGCAGTCTCATGGAGGTAACTGCATTCTTGTCTGAGCACTTTAAAGCATTAAAATACTAACAATCTTGGCAGCTTGTTTTGATAAATTCACAATAAGCATCTGATGGAAAACATCCTCTCCCTGGTACTGATGCACTTAATCTAATAGAGTTGGGTCAGTGATAACCGATTTATATTGGTTGTCCTTATTCTCTGAAGTTCTGTATTGCTATTTCAAAATAAAATATTATGGCATTGGGTTGCTGTTTCCACTTGTAGCTCTTGGGTACCCTGGTGCTGTGTTTGCAAAATCAGTGACACAAGCTAATATGTTGAGTGTCATCTGCTGACATAGTTCTTTTTATAGTCTTATGATATTTCTGGATGTTTGTGTGATCTGTATTTGACTTTCACTCACCACTTATATAACAACTGTCTTTTCTAGTCATCAGAAAGAAGAGTTCCCCCCACACCTAGGATACAAACTTGATTTTGGTGCCACTGAAGCTGTCCCCAGACAACTTCATTGTTCTAATTCTCACTGGGGTAGGAGAGAGATTTCTAACACTATATTAGAATAAGGAAAAGAAAAGATGCTGTGTTATTAGTTCTGGGTGCATCTTTTAAATATCAATTATGAATCTTCTCTTTAAAAAGGTTCTGAAATATGTTAATCTGTTATTATAAATATTACTTTGTGCAATATTGTTTTGTGTAGACTTATATGCATCTTAGCACCTCAATATAGAGGTCACAATTTTAAACTGATAGCAAAATAATCATCAGAAAATACTGCAGTGATTAGTTAGAATCTGTATTACTCCTTATATATGTATATGTACGTATTGTCTTCAGTACAAAAATGAAGACAAATTAGAAAATATTTCAGACTAATTTACAGATTGAAGTGGTGGTGACTTGTTTAGTAATCTGTGTAAATAAGGTGTTAGAATGGAAAGCTTTTATGAAAAGTAATATGATTCATGCAGGGGTATAATTTAATTTTAGCAAAAATTCTAGATGATCAAAGCTGGTTCAGAAACAGGCCCTCTGTTCTCTGGCATTTTTCCCACTTTTTTGTTGAGAAGAATTTTATAGAGCTTTAATGGGTTGTGCAAAGTAAAATTCTTCACAGGCAATATTGGTTTCAGTGCCTCTTTCATGTTCACGCTGGTTAATATCATGTTAGTGTTATTTTCCATTTCTTTTTTAACTCACTCTGCTTGTCTTCCAAGTGCTCATTTCCCTTCTCCCATGTGGTATTCATTGGCCATGTCAAAGATGGTATCATCATCTCTAAGTCATTGCTAACTAATAAGGTGATTGTCCCTTGACAGTCAGCACTGTGTATAATCACTCAGGAACTGACATATCTTCAAAGACCTTACAATTGAAGGAAAAGCTATTCATCCCTTTATAAAACCAATTCTCCCCGTATATCTTAAAATGCAAAAATTAAACATACTTAGGCTACAAAGGTTCACAATTTAAGACGCACTATGCACCATTATTTTTTATTTGTGTTCCTTTAGAGCTTGAAATAAAATGAAAAGAGAGACATATAATTTGGAAATGTGTATTGGAAGTCGCTCTCTGTAAACTATATTAAATAGCATGCTTTTAAACTAATGCATACAGTAGACCAGCAGAGTGCTTCACACTGTTTTCAAACAGTATCCTACTTGTGTGAAATAATCTATTCTTTCTAAAGTATCAAGAAAAAGCTTCTCACTCTTTTACTTCTGTGGACTGAATGCCTTTAACCACTGTACCATACTTTCCTTTTACTCACTTAGTTTACTAGTTCAAAACGTAAAGTCAAGTTGATGTCCTCCTCTTCATTATAAATTAGTCATCGAATGATTTGGATGATGTTGCTATTGTTTTGATGTTGTAAGCCTGAGGTAGAGATTAATAGATGTTTGTTTCAGATAAAATTTCATGAAGCTTTCAATTTTATAACTTTGTTCTTAATTTTGCCTGTACAAATTTTAATCCTTTAATGAAATAGTAATGCAGTGTTTCTCAAACTGGGGCCGCCGCTTGTGTAGGGAAAGCCCCTGGCGGGCTGGGCCAGTTTGTTTACCTGCCCCGTCCGCAGGTCCAGCAGATCGCGGCTCCCACTGGCCGCGGTTCGCCGCTCCAGGCCAATGGGGGCTGCTGGAAGCTGTGGCCAGTACATTCTTTGGCCTGCGCTGCTTCCAGCAGTCCCCATTGGCCTGGAGCAGTGAACCGCGGCCAGTGGGAGCCGCGATCGGCCGAACCTGAGGACGGGGCAGGTAAACAAACCGGCCCGGCCTGGCCCGCCAGGGGCTTTCCCTACACAAGCGGCGGCCCCAGTTTGAGAAATACTGTACTGATGCAACTTTTGAAACATTTGCAAAATCCAAAATTACCACACTTCTTCCAAACTTGATTCTTCCAGCTCCTCTCTAAATATAGGTATGGAAAGAATTGCTTATAAAATCAATGGCTAAATCTGGTGCCCATTAGATTGTATCTATAGTTCTGAAATCAGTGAATTACAGTTGGAATAATACCTTCAGATGTGCAGTACTCTAAACTGGTCATCACTACAAATGGCTTACTGAATAATAAATATGAAGAATACAGATGTCATACTTGTGCTTTGTGAGAAATCAAGTGACAGATGGACAAGTTAATTTTTCAGTAAAATATTGGGCAAGTCAAATCTTTGGCTAGTCTTAAGAGTAAAATATTTGCAAGTAATTGGTGGAAAATGGCAATTTCTGATTGACTTATCACTCAAAGATTTCAGAACATAGCTCATTAAATTCAGTGATAATTTAATGCCTATACTTTTTATGCAAGCATATCTCAAATTCAGTTGGCAAGAATATATCATATCAACAGCTGCCAGTAGACTGAGGACTTACAGATATGATGAAATAGGGCTATACATAAAGATGGAATAAATTTCAGAAGTCTTTGTCACATTTTGATAATATTCCTCTAGTATTCATTGATCCATCAGGTCAGCTGGTGTTTAGAATAATTCCATTAACTTTGGTGGGGGTAAATCATCATAGCTCCACTGAAGATCTGCCCTGTCTTTTAGAAACCTATGGGTTTGGTTGAAGTCTGGAACTGAAATTTGGAATACTCTCTCGCCTTGAAACAAAGTCAGACTTTTAACAGCAGTAGTCCAGGGACATGATACTAGAGAGCATAACTAGCTGTAAGGGCAGGTCTACATTGCAGCCGGGGTTGACACTCTGAGATCGAACCACTGGCAGTCAATTTAGCAGATCTAGTAATGACCCGCCAAATCGACTGCAGATCGCTCTCCAGTCTACCCCTGTACTCTACCCCCAACTAGAAGAGTAAGGTAAGTCGACGGGAGATTTTCTCCCGTTAACCCCCCCTGCGGTGTAGACCCCACAGTAACTCAACCTAAGGTATGTCGACTTCAGCTACATTATTCATGTAGCTGGAGTTGCGTAGCATAGATTGACTTACTGCGGTAGTGTAGACATAGCCTAAGATGGAAACCTGGGCTTGGCTTCTGTTTTAAACACAGCTTACAATTCCTTTATTAGCAGCCAAGGAAAACTGTAAACTGGGATAAAAGTGAAGGGCCATGTTGTGCCAGAGATCAGTTAGCCAAATAGAAACGTCAAATTATATCATCACACTTTCCTCTTCCTTGGGTGTCCTAATTCTTTCTGTGCAGAACCTTGGCCTGTTTTAACAGTACTTTGTGAAGTCAGTAGTTCAATTCTCTATTATTGACATGTTTTCTTCCAAGAAGATGGAACACTCACTGAAGTGTTCTCCGGGGCTATGTAATAAAGTAGTTATTAATCTATACCTTTTACCATATAGAAAAACTGTTAATCTGTCATCTGTTTTCCTACATGAGTCCCAGTCTCTTGATATAATTCTTTTTTGTCAGAGCTGCAGGATGGATGGGAGTTCAAGTCCTTCATTTTGCTCATTCTGTCATTCACATGCTTGAATTTTACTGAGTGATAAGCACTTTACATTTATTGTTATAAATGCTAAGTGTATGTAGCCATATTGGTTGTTTTAAAAGGGCACGAGGTGTGGGAGGGACATTATCTTCAGCTCCTGAAAAGGGATCTTTTTTTCACCTGAAGGCTTGTACTGTAAATTAACTTACGTTGGTCTAAAAGAAGATTTCCCAACAATGTTATGGCCTTACATTACCTTCCAGTAACATAAATGTTATGATCAAATAGCACATGTAGCTGAGGAGCTAATATTATTATAGCACTCTTCAATTGTCTAAAGAAATACGTATACTTCTAATTTCTTTGTACAACATGTAAAGAGATTTCTTATATGATTTTGTGATTTAATTTGATTGGCAGCTAATATATTTTCTGTGGGTTTTAATGTATCTTTGCATACAGAGGACATGTACAATTGCCTGGAAGACTGTTTGCTTTGTGCGACCCTAGTATATTTATTGACATTTAACAGAAAAGTTTTAAAGAGGTTTTTATAATGCGTAGTGTAAACAGAACCTCTATGTGAATAATCCTCTAACCAGTGTATTTCTTTTAGTAGCTGACTGTACAAGCGTGTCAAACTGTTAAGCTATTTCTTTGTAAAATAGTACAATGGAATGCATAGATTTTTTTCCTGTAAAGTATTTTTTTAATAAACCTGATTTCGTCCTTTACTTCAGTCTCTTGTTATTTAAATTTCTTTAAATTAATAGCAGTAACTCCTGTCTTCTGAGCAACTGCAGATGTTTAGAATATAAAACTATCCTCTCCTCTAGATACCGCTGAACGCTTTCTTCAAAGATCAGTAACACTGGCAGTATCAGAGGTTGATTTTATCCCCATGCCTCCTCTCACCTTCCTTTTTT